AAAAAAAAAAAAAAATCTTTATTGAACACGTCTGTTCACCATTGACGCTAATCGAGGAAGCGTCACTTCCTCGTGTTAGGAAGGCGAGAGGAGTCAAGTGATGCATTCAAGTGTGCTCAGTTTGTTCGAGAACCGAAATTTGGTCGTCAACCGAGGCATAAAAAAACTCTAAATTTTGGGTCGAAAACCGATTTGGTTGAGAACAGAGACGTTCGAAAACTGAGGTTTGATTGTAGTGGTTATTCACATTTTGTACTTATTTTGCACAGTTTGTGTGTATGTTTATGTGCATGTTGCACACTTTGTTAAAGTTTACACTAAATGGATTATTCACAAGTGGATAAAGGGTTACGAGCAAGATTTTTGTCTGTGTTCTGTGTGGAATCTCCTCAATGCACAATTTGGACATTTTAATCAAAACTCAGCTATTTATGTTATCATGTTAGTTATCCACTCAGTTATTTTGTTAAGGGTGTTGTAGTGATGCAAAAGGTGTTGAACCTCTATTAAGAATCTTCACCATTTAATGTTGCACTTGCTCTTAACTACCAGGGATCCGTATCAGCTCCTGCTTGTCGAGTTCCCTGACCTCACGAAGCCCATGTTTTTGGCAGCTGTGGTTCAGCACGGCTGAGAGCACCACATCACCACTGCTAGCCCCCAGTCTTGATTTTGCCAAGCACGGTACACACAAACAAATGATCAGAGTTTGGTTCACAAAATCCGTAATCCCAGCAGTTAAACTGCACGCCGCTCAAATGCTGCTGACTCACAGGCAACTACTGTGAAAGAGTCTATCAGTTTGATTTGTCGTTCTTTACCAATAAAAAGGACATCATGCGTGACACACAGCTTCGTTGGTTGCCAGGGAATTAAAGCAAACAAACCAAAAAAAAAAGTTTTACAAAAATTTTATCATATTTTACACCGAACGAATTGAACTTCCAGGTCAATATACTCATGTCGTCCGGCTTTAAGCATCCGTTAAATTACATTCGTAGATAGTGAGTGCCACCTTGTGGAAGCAGTAGGGTAACAAATTTAAAGGATTTGACATATCAATTATGGACAGCGTTGGACTCAAACAGTATTGTGCTGCATTAACATTTAGGCAATGTCATGGCAACAATTTGAAGCTCATGCAATTTAAGGGTTGAAAGAGACCTTAACTGAATGAGTTTGTTGCTATGTTACGACAAGGAACTGGCCGCAAGGTTTCATCACTCAAAATAAAATAGCATTTGAACACGCAATCGGACCATATTTTTTAAGAACTACCCCAACACATACATATGTACAAGCGGGGCTGCTGAGCTCATGGCTAATATGGCTAACCACTCAGACGTCTGTTGGTGAGCCTCTCAAGGTCCAACGACAGATTACCATAACACACAAAATGTGTGAACTGGAACTAAAACGAGCAGGAAATTGTTATATTCGTGACTGTCACATTTTATTAATCATGGAAACCTGGCTAAACACTTCAGTACAACCGCACTGAGGCTAACCGCTGCGCAAAGTGGAGCTTCATCACCAGATTATGGTGTCCAAAAAAATGTGCTGATTTACAATGAGGGTAAGGCATAGAAAAAAAAGTAGTGTGTTTCCGGTAACCCGACCGACTGAGAATTTCTACGTCGAAAAAAAAACTTTACGGTCGGCATTTTTTTCAAACAAGCCTCTACATTTTTGTGTAGAGGGTTTACATCGGTGCAAACTCTCGCGATATTCACGTTGAGCGCGTGCGTCGTTTGCCCTGTCGTCTGTCAACAACATTGAAACATGGCGGCGGCCGCGATCTCCGACGACAGTTTAAACTGCGTTTTCTGTGTTACATTCGGATGCTCGCACCGTAATGTTAAGAAAATAGCATCCATTGATGTATCGAAAAAAATTCAGCGAACTATTTGATGAACACCACGGGCCGAGTAAAAACCGAGGGCGGAGGAGGACGGCGGCGGAGGCGGCGGCGC